CCCCCCCCCCCGCCCATGCGCACCTCCTGAGCGCGATGCTGACCGAGGAGAAGGCCAGCTGGTCCCAGGGGATCTCCTCGGGGGCAAACAGCGCCGCCTCCAGCGACTCGGGCTGCTGCGCGGCGTAGGTGAAGGGCGGCGCCAGGCGGCCCCGGAACAGCACGTAGATCTGGCTGATGCCGGGTATGTCGTAGTGGCAGAAGGGGCCCTGGATGTCCACCCGCGCCCCCGCCTCCTCCAGCGTCTCGCGGGCGGCGCCCGCGGCGCTCGACTCCCCGCACTCCAGGTATCCTGCGGGGGCCGCAAGCGAGGGCGCGGGATGGGGCTGGGCTGGGGTGGGGGGGTAGGAATGCGGAGGCGCAGATGCAGGGGGCTGCTCTGGATGCGCCACAGGGGTCGGCCACCCCTTGCCAGCCTCAGCCCCCAACCCCCGGGCCTCGCCTGCCGGCACGGTCCACAGACCGCGCTGCGGCTCGATGCCGCGGCGGCACAGCAGGATGCGGCCCTCGTGCTGCACGATGCAGCCCACCACCAGGCGCGGGTTCTGGTAGTCCACATAGCTGCGGGGGAGGAGGTGAAGCAGGGGCAGGGGCGGTGAAGGGCAAGGCAGGGGTAGGACTCAGGGTGGGGTGGCGCTCAGGATCGGGAGCCGGCGGCCTGGAAAATGTCCAGCCCTGCTGATGCCGCTGCACCCCTTGCCTTGGCGGCAGTTGCTGGGCCCGCACCTGCACCGCTGGCACACGTGGCGCCACTGGCCGTCCCCCTCGGGCAGCGCCAGCTCCATGGGCCCGCCACACATGCGGCAGTAGCTGAACAGCTGCCGCGGCTTGGTGGGCGCAGCCGCGGCGGCCGCCGAGGGCGGCGCGCCGGCGTCGTCGGGAGCTGCTGCTGCTGCTGCTGCCGCGCGTGGCGCTGGGGCCGCCTGTTGTGTGTGGTGCTCCTGCGTCAACCGTGGGTGCGGTGCTGCCCACAGGCACCGTGCTGCTGCGCTTGGCAGCGGCAATAGGAAGCCTGGCCGGGCGAGTCTGCGGGAGGGCGGCGGCGGGCGGGTGGAGTGCAGTTGGCCAGGGGGGCGGCGGGATGCAGGCGCTGCAGGCTGCGCGTTCGTATTCCACACCTGAGCATGTTGGGGACGGCAGAGCGACACAGAAGCAGCCAGCGACAGCACTTGCCCCACTGTCAGCCAAAATGGAGATCGCTGGCCGTAGATCAAGCTGAGGGCTGATGGACAAGTCAGGAGCGTGCTCCGATCGCTGCTTTTTCAAGCCTCCGGAAATTGCTGAGGTGTCCGCCATGGGGATCGCCAGCTTCAGGCGATGGCGCATTAAATTCTGGTCTGGTATTGTCTTGTGCATTCATTCCAGCAGCAGGAGCCGCTCCCTGCCGTCGAGCCGAAAGGCGACACAAGTGGCAGTCGAGTCGGTTGTCGGCGTTGCCTCCTCTTTCCGCAGTAGCGTGCCACGATGCTGCAGTGCATTGTGGTCCTCATTGCCGCAGCGCTCGTCCACCCTTGTGAGGCGAGTGCCACCATGCCTGCTCTCTAGAGAGGCCCGCAGTGCTGGATTCAAGCATGCAATACATACAAGAAGGGGAAGACCTGCTCGAGCTGGGCCCCCCTCTGCCTTCCCGCCTTCCCGCCGCCGCTGCCGGCCCCAACCTCCTTGCTCACCCCGCCTGCCCCGCAGTCTGCCATCGTGCCGTCTGCCAGCGACCCCGCCAGCCTGCGCCCCACGCCTGACGAGGTGGCGCGGCGGCACCGCGGCGACGAGATCCTCGTGGTGCCCGGGTTTGAGGGTCCGCTGCCTTCCCGCCACTACGGCGGCTACATAACAGTCGACGAGCGCAATGGCCGGCACCTGTACTACTACTTTGTGCAGTCGCAGGGCAGCCCCCGCACCGACCCGGTGGTGCTCTGGCTCAACGGCGGCCCCGGCTGCAGCAGCTTTGACGGTGGGAAGCTGGCAGTGCTGGTGTCCACCACCACCCGGGGCGTGTTGCGGTGCAGTGCGGTGGATGCCTGGCCCTATGCGCCAGCTGAGCTCGACCCCTGCCTGGGCATGCCCCCTGCAGGGTTTGTGCAAGAGCACGGCCCCTTCCTGTTTGCCTTCAAGGGCGGCAAGGATGCCAGCGGGCGGCGCATGCAGGCGCTGGAGCTGAGCGAAAACCCGCACACCTGGAGCCGGGCCGCCAGCATGCTCTATGTCGACTCACCCGCCAACGTCGGCATGTCCTACTCCGGTGCGTGTGTGTGTGTGTGCGTGTGTGTGTGTGTGTGTGTGTGTGCCTTTTGCTGGCAACAGAGTTGGCGCCGCTGCTGCTGGCATGCATGCCTCACTGGCGTGCACCGAAGGGGCTTGCGATACGTGTGCTTGCAGAGACGAAGGCAGATGCCCACACCAACGACACGCGCACTGCCGCCGACATGAACACATTCCTGCGCCTGTGGTTTGCCAAGTTTGAGGAGTTTCAGGACAACGACTTCTTTGTGGCAGGGGAGAGCTACGCGGGCGTGTATGTGCCGCTGGTGTCTCAGGTGAGCGGTAGCTTTGCCAGAAATGTTAAAAAACCAAGAACATGTTTTTTTTTCAGTCTGGTGCTGAAAGCCCAGCCTGCATTGCTTTGCCTCCTGGGCCCCCGCCCCAATCCCGCGCATGGCAGGCGGTGATGGATGGCAACGATGCGGGGCAGGAGCCGCGGCTGCGCCTGCGGGGCTACCTGGTGGGGAATGGTGTGACTGATGCGGAGTTTGATGGCGATGCGCTGGTCCCCTTTGCCTACGGCAAGAGTCTCATCAGGCATGGGCTGGCGCAGGCAGCTAGAGTCGCTGATTTTTCTTGCGTGTCTGCCTGCTCCCAGTCCAGCAGCTCCACTGCCACTGGCCCATCCTGTCTGCTGCCTGCCTACAGCGAGGAGCTGTATGAGGAGGCCATGGCCAGCTGCGGCGGCAGCTTCTGGAACGCCAGCGCCGGTACCGCCTGCGATGACGCCATCACCAGTGTATACCAAGCAGTGGCGGGGCTCAACATCTACGACGTTCTGGAGCCCTGCTACCACGGCCACAACCCCTACACCCAGGCTGACCAGCTGGGCGCGGCGGTGGCCAGCCACCGGCGGTGGCCGCTGCTGGGCGGCCTGCACGACGGACCGGTGACTGGCCTGGTGCAGCTGCTTGGGCAGCTGGGCCACACGCCGCCATGCCTCGACAGCAGGTGGGCGGCGGGTTGCTGGGGCTGGGGACCCGGCTTGCCGGGCTGCCTGCTCATGCTGTGATTGTGTTGCGCACATGAGACGCTCCCTGGCCAGTGGTAGTTTGCGACGCTCTGCTGCGACCCTCCCCCTCCCTGCAACTGCTCTCCCTCTGGCCGTGCCGCCTGCCTTTCCAGCCTGCCTGCCACCCTCTCGCCAGCCTGACCCGGCCCTGCCCGCCTGTCCCCGCAGAGAGATGTGGGCCTTCTGCAACGACCCCGCTGTGCGGCGGGCCATCCACGCAGAGCCCATCGAGAAGATAGGCTCGTTTGACGAGTGTGAGCTGGCAGCCCTGCTGCGCTGCGCTGTGCTGTGCCGCGCTGTGCTGCGTGTATCGCGCTGCGTGCACCGCTTGTGACGCACCCCAGCTGCACGGTTCTCTAACCGGCACTTGCCACCTTCCCTCACACCATCCTTTCAACCGCGGGGGCAGGCACCAACGGCGATCGCATCCACTACACGCACGACCGCGGCTCCATGCTGCCGGTGCACCGCGACCTGATCGGCAGGGGTGAGCGCTTGCGGCTCTCCGCCCCAGCCCGGGGCCGGCTTCCCGGACCGCATGCACGCTCCAGGGCCGCGGCATGCCCTCCCGTGCTCCCCTTCGCACCACATGCGGAGTGAGGGCACGCCACTTGCGCTGCAGGCCTGACGGCGCTCATTTACAGCGGCGACCACGACATGGCGGTGCCCCACACCGGCACCGAGGCCTGGACCTCCTGGCTGGGGCGCCAGCTGGGCGTGGAGCGTCCCTGGGCGCCCTGGCACACGGCCGACCACCAGGCGAGCTGCGTGGGGCTGGGGGGCGCTGTGCCTCCCGGTTCTATCTGGCTGTTCTGGCCATGGATGGGTCATTCAACACTGCGGCGGTTGCCATGTGCAGGTGGCGGGGTACACGGTGCACTACCGCGGCCTGGTCTATGCCACGGTGCGCGGTGCCGGGCACATGGTGCCGGAAACAAATCCGGCCGAGGCGCTGGAGCTGTTTAGCCGCTTCCTGGCCGCCCTGCGCGTCTGAGCTCGGCAGGGCGGGCATTCCTGCCATATGAATTTTGAGAACACTGCAATCTGTAACTTTTGAGACCCCTGCAACCATGGAAGGGGCTCCGGCTGCGACCGATGTAGCGGCTGGTTCGTGCCGCCACCCGCCACGCTGTGCGCTGAACTGGGGGGGTCGTGAAGCATCCGTGCCCACGCCGCAAACCTCCCAATCGCATTCTCCTGCACTTCACACCACCCTCATCAATACCTCACTCCTGTCAACCAGCGCGCGGCGGCCGGTGGGCGGCCGGTGGTTTGCAGACGCTAGCGGCAGGTGATCAAGCCCAGCAGATCCGGCAAGCCAGCATACGAGGCGGATGGCAGCGTTCAGCTGCGCTGGTGCTAGCCACTCTCGGTCGACGCACCCACGCTTGCCGAGCAGCCTCACGCCTAAAGGCAGCAGGCGCCCCCTGAGGGTCACCGCCGCAGCCACCGGCGTCCTCACGCCCACCCCGCCTGAGCAACGCGGCGAGCAGGGCCCTGCCGCCGATGGCGCCAGCCAGCGGTGGCCGCTGCCGCTGCCTATCCCCGGCTGGTTCCGGAGGGCAGAAAGTGAGCAGGAGGAGGCACCCAGAGCGCCCGTGCAGGTGCAAGTAGCCGCCGGCAGCAAGCAGCCCATCCTGTCGTTTGCCGGTGGCGGCATCTTCTTTTGGTGAGGTGGCTGCAGAGGAGTCGGGTGCAGCGTCGGATGGCGGAGTTGTGTGCTTGCGAGGGCAAGCTGCGAGATGCAGATGACTTCCATCCATGTTGGTCATGTGCTGTCCTGTGGCATCCTGTGGCTGGGCCGGGAGGCTCGTGTAGCAGCAAAGGGGCCGCCCATCGCGCGCTGCCAACCACGGCTGCCCTGCCTGCTCTGCTGCGCAGGTGGGAGCTGGGCTGCCTGCGCTACCTGCACCGCAACTTTGACCTGACCAAGGTGCAGCTGGTGGGCGCCTCGGCGGGCGGCCTGATCGCCACCCTGGCAGCCTGCGGCGTGGACGAGGACAAGGCGGTGAGGCGGCGGGGGAGGGGGCCAGGGTGGAAGGGCTCTCTCTCTCTGTGCCCTGCCTGCGCACGCCCGCAGCCCAGGCACCCCCCTCACCGGCTAACAAAACCGCCCCGCCTGCCTCGCTGTGGGCCGCAGGTGCGCGTGGCCAACCGCCTGGCCCAGGAGTATGGCGTGTTTGAGCGGCCCGGCGGGCTGGCGGGCATCTGGGGCTCGCTCATCCGCGCCTGGCTGGAGGAGCTGCTGCCGGAGGATGCGGCGGAGCGGTGCGCGGGGCGGGTGCGGCTGGTGGTCACCGAGGTGCCCAGCCTGAAGCTGCGGTACCTGCAGGACTTTGAGTCCAAGCAGGACCTCATTGACGCCAACAGTGAGTGGGGCATGTGGGTGGGTGCAATAGGGGCAGGCTGGCGGCTGGGGGGGCAGGCCGGACGGGAGGCAGGCAGGAATTGGGGCAGCGCTGGCCGCAGCGGCTGGTGCTGCCGCGCCACACCTGGGCTGGCAGGCCTGTGACCCGCGCTGTTCCGCTGCCGCCCGCGCGCTGCCCCTGCCCCACCTCGCCTATGCCTGCAGTGGCCAGCGCCTTCATCCCTTTCTTCCTGGACGGCAAGGCCACCTGCCCCTACCGCGGCCGCTCCTACATCGACGGCTCCCTCTGGGATTTCCTGCTGTCCGACAACTCAGACCTCATCAAGTGCGACGGCAAGGCGTGCGTGGTGGACTATGTGAGTGGCTGGGCCCGCCGGGGCGTCTGCCAGCCCGACACGCGCCGCAGGCAGCGTGGGCCTGCTGCGCGCTGCGGCGCTGTCCTGCTGCACCTGGGTACCACCGCCCTGGCCTGACCCCTGCACGCCCCCCCTGCGCACCCCGCCGCCCTCCCCTTCCTCCTCAGTTCAACGATGACCAGCTGCAGTGGAGCCGCCTGGATTTCATCAAGCTGGCAGACCTGCAGCAGGTGCAGGCCTTTGTGGGGACGGGCTACGCGTACGCGGCGCGCGTGGACGCAGCCGGTGAGTGCCCCCCCATCCCCACCACCACCCCGCCGCCACAACGGCGCAGCCGTGCAGCGGGGGGCGCCTGCCTGCGAGGCGCAGCTGTGCGCTGTTTTGGCGGCTGTGGGCAGCGTCGGCGGCCTGGCGCCGCGCTGGCCGCGCCTCTTCTTCTGCCAGCCCCGGGGGCGGTCGTGCTATCTCCCGACACTGACCCCCGTGCCCGCCCCCTGCCGCCCCCTGCCCGCAGGCGACTGCTTTGAGCGCCCGCTGGGCAGCACCCGTAAGGGCACGGTGAGGAAGGTGCTGGAGGTGCCGGTGTGGGGCCTGCGCCGCGCCCTGGCCTCAGTGGATGGCTGAGCCCGCTCGCCTGCCTCCCCCCGGAGGTGCGCCCCCAGTCCGCTGTAATCTTGCGACAGCAGCTGCTGGCGGCCCCCGCTGTTGCCGACTGTCGGAGCCTCAGCCTGCGGGTGGCCGCGCTGCCCTGTGCTGGCCTGGCAGGGTTTTCGTCGCACGCCCGCTGTTCCTTTCATTTATCATTTGATCCGATTGAATGTTTATCTTTGATGCCAAGCTTTCCCACCTGTGTGTGTTGTGTGTGTGGATGCCTCTTGAGAGATGAGATCTACTATCTTTTGCTGGTTGTTTGGGGCCCCAGCTGCCCCTGCAGAGTCAGACCCGCCTCGGTGCTTGTCTGTTGCCTCGTTCCCCCTCTCCCTCTCTCCTCACACTCTGCTCGCCTCTGCCCCTCTACTCTCCCTGCACTGCCGCCCCCGAGGGCCCCTTTGTGGGCTGTCCCGCCAGCCCGGCCCTCACCCATGCATACGCCTTCTTTTCAGCGGGATTTGCTGCTTTTGTGCGCTCTGGCGACACCTGTACACTCCCCTCGGATCCCCCAACCCTGCTCATCATGTCCCGCCTACAGCTACCCCACCCCCTGAACTGCTCATTTCATAATATCATCGGGCTGCCACCCCCCCCTTTTGTAAGGCCGCACAGCAAGGACTGGACACAGCGTGTTACAACGGTGTGGCAGCCATCCGGGCAGGCCGCCTGCAGAGAAGTCGGCGGCAGGCTCACTGCGCGGCCGCCTTCATCAGCTCCGACAGCTGCTGCCGGGCCGCCGCCGCCGCCGCCGCGCTGATCAGCATGACGACGCGGCACGGCTGCAGCTCGTCTTTGCCCACGAGCCGGTCGGCCACGGGGAAGGCGTAGCTCCACTGCGCCGCTGCCTGGTAGCACTCTGCCTCGGGCAGGAAGTGCACCACCCCTGCCGCCGCATCCTGCTGCCCCGCCCCCGCCGCTGCTCCCTTCTGCTGCCTCTTCTTCTTCTGCTGCTGCTTGCCGCCGCCGCCGCTGCCGCCTGCTGCAGCGCCGCTCTGCTGCTGCTGGGGGTCTGTGTATGCGCGCACCACCATGAGGAACTGGCTGAGCTTGAACGCTGCCCGCTCATCCTGCAGGGGACCAGCGGGGAGCGGGCAAGCCGTGCGCTGTGGCATCAGCGCGTGCTGCAGAGGGCCGACGTGCTGGCTGTTGTAGGCAGCGGCAGGCTGCCCGGCCCGGCCCAGCGTGCGGGCTTGCACCTAGCGCCTCCCACTGCACTGCCTGTGCTGCCTCTGTGCCTGCCATGTTGCACGCCGCACCCCGCCCCGCCTACCTCGCCCAGCTCCTCGTCCTGGGCCGCCTCCTCAACCTCACCAAACAGCGACCCCTGCAGCGGCTCTGCCAGCTCCGGCGGCGAGTTGACCAGGCGCTCGTTGACAACCAGGCCGGTGCCGGCAGCCGCCCAGGCCTGCGCCGCGCCGTGTAGTGGCATGGGTATGTAGCACCTCCAATGGCTTCGGGCAGCGGTGCAGGCGGAGCAGCAGGACGACGCTGCCCCGTGTGCAGCGCTCGCTTGTGCATGCGCAACCGCCGCCGCCATCAGTGGTGAACGCCCTGGGCGAAGCAGCCCTTGCTGAGCACGAGGGCAACAACGCCAGGCGCGGGCCCCAGTGACGCCAGCCGGCAACGCACCTTCTCCAGGCGCTGCCGGTGCTCGTCGCCGGCGGCCGCCAGCAGGAAGTCGTGGAGCTGGCGCAGCGGCTTGGCGTCGGCGTGGCGGCGCAGGCTGAGCACGGTGGAGACGCCGATGGGGTCGTCCTCCTCGCCGCACTTTATCACGCTGCCCACGCCCGCGCTGCTGCCCTGCAGGCACCCGGCATGTGAAGGCAGCGGCGGTCGGCGGCCAAGGCCGGTGGCCGCCGCTGGGCGGTGCCGCCGCTCCTGGCAGCAACATGCATGCGTGCCGGCTTGCACCTCCACCTGCTCTGTACATGACACCCTGCACCTCCTGGCGTGTAGTCGGTTCATGCATACAAGAGCGGCAGCAAACACGCCTGCTGGACGATGGCATCGACCAGCTCGGAGCAGGCCCACTGCTGGCCGTCCAGGAAGTTTTGCAGCAATGTCCTCAGCCCCTGAAAGTCCTTCTCCTGGGGGCAATAGAAGCCAAAGTCCACATCCACCTGCTCAAAGGCCTCCCCCGCCTCGTCGTCGCTGCTCTCCCCGCTGCTCCCCTCGGCCCCCGATGGGAAGCCGTCGCTGCTGTCATCCGACGAGGTTGGATCGGAGCCCTGCTCCTCAGCCTCCGCGCTGCTGCTTGGGAGCGGCTCCTCCTGCTTGCGCTTGGGCATGCCGGGATGCGATGAAGTGCAGGAAGGAAAATAACCATTAACAACGGATGCAGCCGAGGACCGAAAGACGAGGGGGCGGCGCAGCAGACAGCGCTGGGCAAAGTTGTGTGCATGCATGCATGCACAGGTTTTCAGTAGGGGTGGGAGTCCTGGCCACGGCGGATATGCCAACCATCTGGCGCCATGGTCGGCTGCTGGACCCTCAACAGATGGTCTGCTGACCACCGCTGCAATCCGGCAGTGCCAGCTGGCCTGCCCGCTGCAGCGGCCGGCACCGCCAGCGGTAAAGGAGCAACTGACGACGCCACACCACCACCCCAGTGCTCCTAAACCATGTGCAGCCAGCCGCTGGAGCTCTGAAAGCAGCCGCGCTGGCACCAGCAGGCGGGGGCGGCTAATGTTAATTTCATCAGAACGATTGCCCGCTGCTCCCGCCGCTTGCTCTGACCACCGCAGGCTGCAGTCGGGCGCCAGTGGCCAGTCTGGCTGCAGTCGGGCGCCACGGGGAGCACATCATAACACTGAATTAAGGGCCTCCACCCTAAAGGTGCCGAGATGTTTACCGGCACGAACACGTCGGTCACGTCGCCCTTCCGGAGGAGGACACCGCAATGCAATCGGCAGTCGATTCTACCTCATCACTGAGCGCAATTCCTCCCACCCTAAAGTAGACAGAGGCCTGTGTCTACAGAATTCTGTTTCGAAACCGATCGGTGTCGCGATCGCCCGTCCTCCAGAGAGCCTCCGCTCGACATCGCGCCCTCGGACCGCCACCGTAGCCAATGCGTGGAACAACAATGATGGTCTGGGCCGCCACAGCCCTGGCGCTCGCCACGGGTGCGCTCGCCGAGCGGCGCCCTCCATGACTCATGAATGGGGGCCGCTCCACGCTGCAGCTGTGGGATACCGCAGTCGCAACCCGTTACACAAGGGCCCCATGCGCATTGGGGACCGGGAATTGGAGTGGGATCAGTGGGTGGGGGGCCTGCGCCGAACGGTCACCACGGCCATGCGCCGCACAGCCGCCCGCTGCCCTGCCATTCCGCCATGCTGCTGCTGCCCCGCCGTGCTCCTGCTGCCCCGCCATGCTCCTGCCTTGCCCTTGCTCACACTGACTGACTGACTGACATACCTGGTACACCTCATGAATTGCAGGAGCGTTTGCAGCAAGCCTGACTCCCGGGCCCAAGTGGATAATTCTCAAAGGCAGAAAGGATTGCGAGGGTCTCTCGAGTGGTGAGCGCTCGAGAGGCACCGGGTGCATTTTACCATTGGGTGCATTTTACCACTGCAGAACCGCTCAGCAGATGGGTGTTGCCAAGATGTGTTGTCTGACCCTCCCGGTGCCTTTGTGAACCCTGTGTGCAGGCTGGTTGGGTGGAGAGTTTTGCACGTGAGTCTGTATGACCCCACATGACAGCTAGCTAGCACGTGACAGGTAGCTGTGACAGCTAGCTGCTAACGGAGCTAGTTGCTAACGGGCAGCCTGACCCCATACGTGCTTTACATACAAGCACCACCCATGGTGGCAAAATCCCCTGCTGCAGGGCGGGCAAAGGCGCGATCCTGTATCCCCAGGCAGGAAACGAGCGCTCAACCTGGGACATGCGTGGCTCAGTCTCCAAGGGCTTCTCCTTTCAGGTGAGGCGCACCCGGCAGACTTCGCTGTGCGTGTGCGGGATTGCATCTGGTGGCGCATGAGTGGCTTCAATAGTGCCATCACGCCACATTCCCCTCTCACTGAGCGCAGCTCAACTGCCGCACCAAGGAGTGCACCTCCACGAGCTACCTGAATGCTGCCACCACTTGCGGCAACGAGGGTGTGTCACTGGGCGGCAAGGCGCTGTGGGCGCTGGAGAAGGCCGGCGCCGCCCGCGAAGAGTATTACATCCGCGCTGCTGTGAGTGTTGCTTGTGTGGGCTTAAAGTCTGGTAAAGCAAGAACTAGCTTGCAACATAGACTCCCCGCCGAAACGGGACGGGAACCGGGCGAAAGCAGAGAAAGCAATAAAACAGGGGTGGAGCAAGGCGACATGCAACGCAAGCAGCTGACAGGGCACGCATCGAAACGTGTGTATGACTGGCAAAGTGGCATGGCGCATTGGGGAGAAACGCAACGGTACGGGAGCATGGGCTGGCCAAACGGCAGTGCGGAACGCTAGGTCACTAGAAAAGCAGGGAAAGGCGCACTATGTATGCAATGAGGGCAGCCCCGGCTCGGGGCCGTTGAGAAAGCAGTGGGCGGGAGGGGGGAGGCCCCGGTGTGGGCGGGCCCCATCGAGGGGGGATGGGGCGCGCAAGCGGCCAGATGGGGCGGGGCGCGGGCGGCAGTGGAGTCCTGCGGCTGGGTGGGATATAGGGCAATGAGCGTTGAGCAGTGTGCGATGAGCAATGAGCAATGAGCAGTGAGCAGCCCCTCCCTAAACAAAGTGAAGCGCAGGACGGGGTCCGGTGGATGGGAGGCAAGGAAACGCGGGGGGTTGCCACGTGCGCTACCGCCGCCGCCGCAGGCAGCACCCCTGCGGCGGCGGCAGCGGCAGCAAGCCGTGGACCCAAACGCCGTGCCGCCGCCGCCGCAGGCAGCACCCCTGCGACGGCGGCGGCAGCAAGCCGTGGACCGAAACTCCGTGCCGCCGAGTCCCGTGGCTGTGGCCGTGGGCTTCTGGCAGGAAACTACGGCCGCAGCTCGGCAGCACGGGGGCGTCGCAGCGTGCCGCCGCCGCCGCCGCGCTGCCCCCCGGGCACGGCGGCGGCGGCAGCAAGCTTGGGCCCAAACGCCGTGCCGCCGAGTCCCGTGGCTGCGACCGTAGACCGTGGGCCGGAAACTGCGGCCGCAGCTCGGCGGCACGTGGTTCTGGTCAAATCGCCAAGCGTGCAGCAGCGCCGAACCACGCTTCCCGGCCTCGGCGCATGCCTTCAGGGGCCCCCTATCGCTGGGCACACCCCTCCAACACCGAACATGCGCCCGGGGGGGAGGGCGGCCCGGGCTGCCCAGGCCAAAGTGGGCCGCCCTCGAGCAAGAGGCGGCCGGTCTGTGTGCTGAATGAATGAATGAATGAAAAAAAAAACCGATTTAGGCCATCACCGACAACTCCATAACCTGCTCCACCGGGCTGGCGCTGAACTGGCTGTACGTCGACTGCCCCATCGAGGTCAACACTGAGGGTGTGAAGGTTGGGGCGGCGTGCAGCGAGCAACACACATACGGCGTCATCGGCTTGCTCCCGACCGCGCCCATCAAACTTTTGAGCTTCCAAGTGGGCGGATGCGTGGCTGCGGGCACGGTGCTGTCGTTTTGGGACGTCGAGTCATTTGTGTGGAGGGACGTGGCGCTGGCAGAAGGTTGCGAGACAGGCCGGTGGCAGCGGCTGGACCGCACCCAGCGCCCATGCCCCCACTGCCAGGCCCCTCTAGAGGACGTACGCCACGCAGTGTATGACTGCCCCCTATACGCTGGGCTGAGGGAGGAGTATGCTGAGCTCTTCCACAGTCCCGGCCACGCCTTGCCCTCCCTGGCCGCCTTCCTCGGCCAGGCCAGGCAGGGCCGGCTGGCCCGGTTTGCCGACCGGTGCCATGAGGAGCATGCTGCTGCCCTGGCACAGTGACTCCCCCGGTTCCCTTGAGTAGGGCCCAGGCATCTTTTGCCCGGCCTTGGCTCCCGACCCACCCCCTCCCCCCGCAGGTAAGAGCAGCGTCAGCGTCAGCAAGCAACGGTCAGCGGCAGCCCCACCACCCCCACCTCCACCTCACACACTCACTGGCCCCTTGCGCGATGGCACGCCGGCATGTTGGCATGGGAACGCCAAGCCCGGCACGGTAGCGGCGGCTGACTGAGTAATGGCACAGCCGACCGCCGCGGCAGGCCACTTTGCACTCCTGCCTGCAATGCATGCACCCTTACATGTGCAGCCTTCTGGTATTTTCATGTGCCTGGGAGATGTGCGGGCATGGGGGCCCATGTGCCCCATGCCATTTGAGTGCCCGGCGGCGGCGCTGCCTGCCGCCGGGAGCCCGCACCAGCATCGGCACCCGTCGGCCTGGCAGGCCTAAGCTGCTAAGGATCCCCACGTCCCCCACCACGTTGTGGGGGTTGCGTGTCCGGCAGGACGGGGAGCGGGGCCAGGGTGGGGTGACCCTGGGACGCTCAGCTGGGGGGAGGGTGGTC